AAAAAAAAAAAAAAAAAAAAAAGAAGAAGAAAAAGAAGAAAGAAAGAAATGTTAGTCGGGTTCCTCTGAATTCAGTCTTCATTGCTGAGAAGATTTAATTTTTGTTCAAAGGGCTGTTTTTCCATCTCCATGGAGTCTTATGGTTCACTGGGGCTTGGAATAAAACCCCCTGATATTTTTTTTCTTGATGTATATAAGTCCTATATGTTAAGCCAGTTTGCCAGAGGCCACCCAGGAAGACATGTGGAAGGCTGGACTTGGCCACATGCCCCTCATATGACATCAAAAAGAAATCACCTTGGTTAGCAACTTCCTGACTAACTAAAAACTTGACTCGATTCTTTCCTGAATTCCATCATGCCAACTCATCACCTTTACATTCTCTCATTAACGAAATAAGTGGCCTAAAAGAAAAAGTTCCTGGGAAAGTTAACTACCACCTACTAATAATATTTGCTGTTTCAAGATCCCTTATTTCAAGTTCTACCACTGACCCAGCTCCTCATCTATCAGAAAATGACATGAAATCTCAGCATTCTTTCTGTAGTATGAAGACCTGTTATGCCACAATCCTGAAGCAGGAGAGACTTAGGTTGAAGGTGAAGCAGGTGAAGGGCCAGAGTTGGGTGGGGACGTGAAGAAGGAAAGGGGAAAGGACATCCAGTTGTCTGGGGATCCAACAGTCCCAATCTTATTTTTTTCTTCTGTTTTTTGGTATTTGTCTTGTTTGTCTGTTTCCTTTGTTCAATGTATTTCAGCAAGTGTTTACAGAACACCTGTGCTGGGCCACTACCACTTATCACCTCTGAACAAACAGAATGATGTTTGGAGTGTGACTCACACCTTGAAGTCCACTTCCTTCTAGAGATAATATCTCACACTCCATAAATTTAAGCTAGGAATAACCTCACGCCAGTCATGCTGAGTTTAAATTCTGTGAATGAATAGAAATGACACGATATGCTAGGAATGCTCCAACACCGAAACGTTCTTTCCTAAGCTTCCTCTGTTTTTCCTCTCAAGTCACATCACTGACCAACAGCAAAACCCCAGATTCCTGACAGATAGATGGTCCAATCTGATGCAAAGTTGGTAAACCAAGGCCAGCACCCACTATGCGCCAGCAGGCTTCGTGGTCTTGGCACAGAGTAGTGTACAAGGCAGATGAAGTCCCCTGCATCTGTGCCAAGCGCTTCCATGTCCGTGGCTGCGATAGGAAATAACATATAAGCACAATAAACAGGACGATTTCAACTAGTCGCAAATACTATGAAATAATACACACGAAAACATAACATAAAACAGCATGGGGATGGGACATCGTGATTGTGGGCTGTCCAAAAACATGATATTTAAGCTCAGACCCTGTGGAAAGTCCCAACTCTCAAAATCCTTAAAGTTGCAGAACCCTGTACGACCCCAACCGAAGGAACCACATGGTTTTGTGCCGCCAGGGACAGGCTGCTCTGTTCTCAGTTGACAGCTAGATCTCATAAAGACTGACACGAATAGCAGTGAGGACAGGCAGGGCAGCTTAGAGACAGAAATGACATTGTGATGTGATTCTTTGGTGGATAATTTCGAGGCCATCAGGAGCATAACTGCACCTTTGTGCTTAGAGAAAACAGCGGGGCCAGGCACGGACTCCTGCGCCAGGGGCACCTGCTGACAGACCAGCTGCCATGAGAACTGGCACACCCAGTGCTCCCACCGCGGGAAGCTGTTTACTCTCTCACTGGAGGACGCAGGGTTAGACCCAGTTAAATGTATAATCATTGTCAGCCGCATCAACACATTCTAACTGACTTGCTTTCGTCATTTTTTTTTCCCTCGAACAGTGGTTCGATGGCTTGTGAATGTTTGGCCTTCAGAAGAGTGCCTTATTTGAATAAATCATTTCAGGGTCAAAGGAAGCTTTTCAACTTCCCTTTCATTCTTAGTTCTCGGTAAAATTGAGAAATGTGTATTCGATGCAGCCAATGTGTATGTCAGACAAAAATTTCTGACAAAAGATTTACTCTTAAGTGTATTAAGCCTTGAGCTGTGGGAACATGGCGTATTACTGCCTTAAGAGCTAAAGTTATGACTATTTTACAGGCTAAATGACAATGCTCAGTGGCAGTATACAAGAGTGCAAAGTTAGGAGGTATTGTGAGATACAAACTTAAAGGACTGGAGGGGGGAAGTGGGCCAGCAGAGGAAGCTGGAGCCAGCAAATAGCACTTGACCAAAGAAGCAGGACTTGAAGATGGGGACGATATGGAGAGGAAGAGAGTGAAGTATTTCAGGTGAGGGATATAATGGGCCCATTTTCACAGAATGGGGTGGAGACCTGAAAAATGCAGCTGTGGTTCATTTGGGGAGCTGTTAGGAAATGGTGAGGCTGGCACTGCACCAGGCCTTTCAAGGGGCACCAGGTTCCATCAGCTACAGATGCCTGTGGGAGAATTTTGTAAGAGTTTGACTCATATTGATTTCCCGGGATGCTCAGTGGACCTAGGCAAATTGTTGGTGACCTAGGTAAATATTTGTATTGTTTGTAACTTGACCAGTGTCATAGTGGCTCACGGGGGTGTGTGAATTTGAACATAAAGACTGTGAGAAAGTCCTCTCCCCCCATCCAAAGTCATTGCAAGGTCATTGAAACAGGACCACAAACAGAGAAGCAGCTCAAGACCAAGTTCACATCCTCTGTTCCGAGCAGCTCAGAGAGAAATGCCTTTCACTGTTACTCTCTATGCAGTTATTTTTGGCCTTTTCTCAGACGAGATGAGGAAGTTACTCAAATCACTTTAATAGTCCAGCAAAATTAAGGGTTTTCAATTTGTACTTTATACTTTTAACATTTATACTCACGTATATTTTTAAACCCTTAATCTCGAATGTCTTAGCGTCACGAGTGGAATTTCCACCCTTCCTAATGTTTGTTCACAATGTTCCCTCAATGCAAAACTCCCCCTTTAGTACGGCTTAACTCCTCACCAGGAAATATTTTTGCGATATGAATGCATGCTTGTGAAAACAATGGGCTTCTTTCTCCTTTATGGCTTGAGTCATTCAAGAATGAGTGTCTTTGATAATTCTAGGAACCAACACAAAGCTGAATTAGCCTGGATCTTGAAGAAAGAATTAGCTTGGCTTAGTCTTTGTGGTTAGTGCTCCAACTGGAGGAACAGGAAGAATCCATTTCCAAGTCATAAAGAATGTGATTAGGACCTCTAGTGGACAGAGATGTCCCTGCCTCCCAGGGCAGGTGCTGACAGGATCCAAACCTCTTCAATTCCAACAAGAACAGGGGCAATGATGGGAGTTCTTGCAGCTCCTGCCCCCCAAACCACTACACCCTTGAAGTTAGCAAATGTTCCATTTACACTGTGAGATCCACGAAGAGCCTCTGCTTTGTGACCATGGAGACTGGTTCCTCTGAAGTAACTTAGAACTTTCAAAAGGACCAAAAACCCTGAAGGCAGTTTAGGGAATTTTAGAACCTTCCCTGAGTCTTATGTCCCAATTTGTTTGGGGTGCCCCTGATGTATCTGAAATGATTAATCAAATCCACATCAATATTTGCACACGTCATCTCATAAACTAGCTCAGCCTAGTGTATCAGGACCTTTTCATCCAAACATTAATTTGGTTCTTAAAAGCAAAAGCAATATTCAGGACTACGTTGATATAATCAGAAAGAGTAGAATACAGGCCTTTCTAGTGCTTTTAACTCTTTTCTGTAGATTTTTCTTTCTTCATATGTAAAATGAAGACAAATATAATAATGTAGTATTATGAGATTTTACTAATGAATGTTCAGGTTTTATAATGATGCTTGGCACATTATGATTTAATAAGTGGAGACTTTTATGATGTTTATGAAGACTCTTTAATTTCTACACCTTCCTCTTCTCCTCACATTCAGGATCCACGCACATGTTCTCATGTAAACATGGATAAACTAATAATCTAGCCAGAGAGAGAATAAAGATTCTAGCAGAGGACCTGCTGTTCAATAGGATACGTGCAGGCAACTCAGACAGGGTCAGGGATAAAATGGGAATGTTGTTGTCCCTTTTGGAACTAGACACATCTGGCAGGAAGTAAGTTCTTTGATTATGGCTCCTAATTAAATCATCAGTCAGCAATTTTCAAAAAGATCCTGAGATCAAGTGTGCTTATATTCTGTGAATTTAAAATTCTGGACTGCAGCAGTCTGAATCCATATGTATGTGGGGTTGTTTAAGAATAAAGAATAAGGCACGTCTTTCTTCTCCCCCTCTTCTCCACAGGTTAACCTCAGAGCCACAGACGTCAGGCTCATGCGCCAGTTGCTGGTTATCAACGAGAGCATCGAGTCCATCAAGTGGATGATTGAAGAGAAAGCCACCATCACCAGCAGAGGCAGCAGTCTCAGCGGCAGTTTGTGCAGCTTGCTGGAGAGTCAGAGCACCTCCTTACGCGGCAGCTACAGCAGCCTGCACGACGGCAGTGATGGGCTGGATGGCATCTCTGTGGGAAGCTATCTGGACACTTTGGCCGACGATGTCCCAGGCCATCAGACCCCATCGGACTTGGACCAGTTCAGCGACAGTTCCATAATAGAGGACTCTCAGACCCTGCACAAGCGTCCCAAATTGGACTCTGACTACTACTGCTTTGGCTGATTACCCAGTTTTTTGCATGGGACTGGTGTGCAATTAACTTGTATTTATCCTTCTTCTCCGCTGCTATATTTTTGGTGTGATTTTTTTTTTTAAATAAGACAACCTTTCTAAAAGAAGCTTATTTTGAAATTGCTTAATGGTGTTTCTGTTGCTCCTAATACTTCTCATGTGAACTGATTTTGCTCTGTTACATCTCTATTTTTATTTATTATGATGATTTTTCTCCCTTCTTTTACAATGGCACAAATAGAGTAGGGGGAAAAGAATAAGCAATAATTATGTCTTTGCTTTTGTTTTCAGAGCAAGGGGTCAGGGATTACAAAACTACTTTGCTAAAATTTTACAATAAACCAAAGTCTGATAACAGTCAATTTTGTTGCTTATGTTCTTAAATGATTTAAGCTTTTATCTTCAATAAGATATGGAGATATATTACTGTTTACATATTAGGTTGAACAAAATGCCTGGAGCTACAACATCTTAGTGTATAATCAGCAGTGCTATCACTTATAAGACCCAACCAGGTATATGCAATCTGTTCAACTCACCTTCGTGTTGATACATCTAATTAGCTTTTTGTCATCAGTGATTATAATCCAAACCATAGACTTATCTATGCAATAATATGTATTATTTTCCCAATTTAAATACTTGAGATTAGGTAAATAGATAATTAGAAGCAACAATGTCCCAAATTTAATGGTATTTTGAGATTCTGGTAACATTTACTTCTATGCATTTTTCAATACTAACAGGATGTGTAAACATATAGAATACATCCACGGAGATGGATGAGTAGATAGATAGATATAATTATAGTGGAAAAGTAGAATCATTCTTTCATCCTAGGATGGATTAAAAAAAACTCTTAGTTTTCTGAAAGGATACCTGACAATATACAACTCGTGGTAAGTGAACATTAGTTTTGATGTGATATTAATCATCTGCATTTTTTTTTGGTAATTCCTAGAAAGGGAATGTAATTAAAATTTCAAGCTGTTCTTCATAATTATGTATGTTTTTGCACTAAACACTTTGCAATACAAATCAAAAAGTCTTCCCATTTACGACAGAGACTGTCCATATGCAAGAAATGTCTTCTCCCAAATTTCCTCTAGGAATTTTAAACAAATTTATTATTTGTTTCAAATATAGATATTGTTATTCACTTTCCAATTGTAACCTTTCAGGGACTATACTTTGTGTTGACCTTTTCCCATAAATTGATTAATGTAGTCCTTGATCACAATGATTGCATTGTGTGGGGATTGTCACTATTCCATATTTGAGGAAACTAGGGCACATAGAAGGCACATGACTATAGCAAATCTCCTAGTAACTATGAAAGCTAGTACTTAAACTTAGGTCTGCCAGGCTGCCTTACCCCTTTTTTCCTTATTTATTTATCTATGATGAAATCTTGCTCTGTTGCCCAGTCTAGAGTGCCATGGCATCAGCCTAGCTCACAGCAACCTCAATCTCCTGGGCTCAAACGGTACTCCAGCCTCATCCTCCTAAGTAGCTGAAACTATAGGAATCTGCCACAACATCTGGCTATTTTTTTATTATAAAATAGAAAGAGATGGGTTGATCTCTTACTCAAGCTAATCTCTAAGTACCAAGCTCAAGCAATTCTTCTACCTCGGCCTCCCGGAGTGCTAGGATTACAGGTTTGAGCCACCTTGACTGGACATTCTGTCCTACTCCTAATAATAACACTCAGTAACCTTTTTGGTACTTATTGATATTAGATCATAAAATGTGTATAATAAAGCAAATTTAAGCCTATGACCAAATATATATATGCAACCAATTTTCCTCCAATCAGTGGGACTCAAGTTTTGTAGTACTGTATTCACTGAACCTTTCTAGAAATATATGTCCCGTGTCAGTTTTATGCTTGTAGATGAATTAGGGAGTTGGCCATCCACCCACCATTCCTAATATATCCATCTCCTATTCTATGTACTTTTTTTTACGTTCAACTTAGTAAAAGCTGGTTGGTTGATTATTTTGTTTGGTTTTAATCTGGAATCAAACCAAATAATTTTTAGCACATATTGCTTACCTTATTAAAATTCAAGGGTATACATCAAGACATAGTAGAGAAAGCATCCAAGCCAATGAATTTCAAACAGAAGGTAATGAAATATGTAACCATATGTCTACAGAATCGCAGGGAGAATATTCTCACCAGGAGGGAAGCAGGCAGGCAGCAAGAGCACGAGACATCAAGAGCAATTCCAGCTCCTTCAAAACCCAGCATTTGCCTTAAAGAAGCCAGGCACAGGAAAGACAATTTCTGTTCTCAGATCACAGTTTCCAATTCTAAATTCAATCTTGTAAATTTGTTTTGCACCCTCCTTGTCCAACCAACTTCCCCTGCTATGTGTCTATCCCATACCCTCAACAAATGTCCCTTCTGTTAAAGGAAATGAAAAAAACACATGACTATAATGTGGAAGAAGGGTGTAGAATAGTTTTCGCTTATGGATTGTATTTTAAGGAAACTGTAATGAACATTGGCAGAACACTTGAGAATTTTTTTGGCTCTATGAGTTTCAATATTTTACATGCTACACATTTTTCAGAAAAGATGGGGCATTTTATAATTATACTACATATTATAAATTGCACAATGGAGGTATATGAAATCACATATAAGGCAATAGTGTTTTAATAGTTGATTTTACTAAGAGGAGGGGAAAAGGCAATTAAACAGCACTAATTACTAACATAGTCATTGGTTGCCAGTAATGCGTAGAAGTACCTCATTTTCAACAAAAGAATCTCCATAACTAACCTCTGACCTGGAGCATTTGATATCTGCTCTCTGTCAGCACCAGAGGAAATGGGGTAACAACTTAAATCAAAAGTGTCTTTTAAACTATTCTGCCTGCACTGAGTTATGTTTTCCCAGAGGAGATGGAATTTTCCAGAATTACATTAACTCTTCATTTTTATGGACTTAGTCTTCTAAGGGAAAGAAAATAATTGGATGTAAGGAATTTAGACAAGTTAAAGCTAGTACATTTTTAGTGTCTGAAAATAAAGGAATTCTAAATGACCAACCTAGAAGTCTTAAGTAAACTTCAAAGAAACCTCAAGGTGTATATTACCAGTCAGGCCCAAACTGCATAGTATAAAGTTGTGAGCATTCATCAGTGTTTCCCAATGCAACAGAGATTCTTTACTGTTGAGTGGACTATAAAGACACTTGCTAATGGATCACTTGAGCCCAGGAGTTCGAGTCCAGCTCAAGCAATGTAGTGTGGACTCCTAGCTCCAAATAAAATAAAATAAAATAATTCTTTTCAGATCCTCATTGTACAGTCACCTCAGTAACAGAACACACTTTTGATCCTTCCTTTTTTAAAGAATGGAAGTGGCTTCCATTCCCCACTGCCTAGTTGACTGCCATTTGCAGTGCTGTTTGTCCTTGTTTTTCTTTCCTTGTTTTCAAATGCAAGCGTCCCTGGTCCCAGTTGTCTTCCACAATGGCTCCACCTGAGGAATTCATCCAGTTTCAGTTTTAAATGTCATCTGTGTGCTGAGATTTCTAAATGTATGTCTCTAGCCCCAATCCCTCCCCTGAATGCCAGTCTGCCTTGTCTAAATGCTCCCACTGCATCACTATGTGATGTCTGGTAAACACTTCAATATGAATAGATCCAAAACTGAAATTTCACATAGTTCAAAATCTTTTACCGTTTGTAAATAAATGATGCCTCCACTCATCAAATTCTCAGCCCAAATCCTTAAAATCATCTTTGGTTACTCTTTTTTCCTCACAAAACCAAATCATGTGCGCTCCACCTTAGAAATATATCCAGAGTCCTGCAAATTCTTCACACCATCACTGCTGCCCCTCTGATCCAAGTCACCACCACTCCCTCCTGGGACTATTGCAATAGGCCTGTTTCCTTGCTTCCAGCTTTGCCTTCCTCATAGTCAGTTCTCAACACAGCAGAGAAATCTCTTAAGATTTGCCACCCTCTATTCCAACTGTGAAAGAGGCTTTCATATTCCTTAGAGCAGAGATCCTCAAACCTTTTAAACAGGGGACCAGTTCACTGCCCCTCAGACAGGTCCACTACTAAGCAGAACAGGCAATGGTGACAAAAACACCTGGCAGTCCGGATAAATGTCCTAGGTGAACTGCATGTGGCCAGTGGGCCGTAGTTTGAGGATGCCTGCTAGAGTCTAGTCCAAATGTTTAACATGGACAAAAATCCTGTGCAATCTGTCATCCTTCTGCCTGTCCGATCTCGTCTTTTACCTTTCCTCCCTCAGCCCCAGGAAACCTCTTTTGCAATCTTGCTATTGCTTAAAAATTTTAAAATCTAAGCATGTTCCCCCCACAGAATCTTTGCACCTCTCCCCTTCTTTGTGTAGAATATTCTTCTCCTAAATACTCATAAGCTCTGATCCCTTAGTTGTTTGTAGTCTCCAATTAACTGGCACATGGTCTAAAAGGACCTCGCTCTGGCACTTTTTCCTCTTGTTTTTCTTCATAGTCCTTATCAGCTTATTACATTAGAATGTAAGGTCTGTGAGAGGAAGAACTTTGCTTAGTTCACTGCCATATCTTCCAGAATCTAGAAAATTATCTATCACATAGTAGACACCAAATAAATATTTTTTTTATCAAAACAACTAGTAATCATTTTCTGAATGCCTTTTAGATACCAAGCAAAGACTGTGCTAGGTTTTGGGGGGCAAAGATACAAAATATATGAATGCTACCCTCAAAGAGTTGATCCATCTAATATATTTCTCTAGCAGAAAGAACAATTTCCTATACCTCTGCTCCAAAAATGCCCATGTCCTAATCACTGGAACCTGGGAACATATTACCTCCCATGGCAAAAGCAACTTCGCAGATGTGATTAAGCTATAGATCTTGAGATGGAAAAATTTGTGATTAAGCTAAGACTCTTGAGATGGAAAGATGACCATGGATTCCCTGAGTGGGCCTTATGAGAGAAAAGAGTGTCAGAGTAAGAGTGTGAAAGAGAGAGGGACAGAAGTGAAGATGTGCCAAATGTTATGTTGCTGTGAGGATAGGAGAAGAGGTTGTGAGCCAAGGAACACAAACAGCACAGTTGCTATTTCTCAACAGAGACTGACGCATCAATCTTACATTATTTCTATAATCACACTTATCGTTGTTTAAAGGTTTAGTAGTGCATTCCTTCTAAATGGTAACAGTTAAATGTTCTCATCTATCACTATGGATTCCTTCTGTGTAGCAGGCTAACCCCAAGGCCTGGTTGAGCCATACCAGGGCCTGTACTAGAATTGTATCACATTTACCTGCGTTTGAGTGCTGGTTACATTCCAGACATTACCTGACATTAGCATTCCT